CCAACCAATGCTTTCGTTGTCTGCAAGCGCTAGCCTCTCGGGAGAACGCGGCACGCCACGTGATGCGGTCTTATCAACGCAACAGGTGCGCTTTGGGTCGAAGCTCGTATACGCAGTGCGAAGTCATCCAGCCCCCGTTGCTCACCTGCCCCGTATGCAGTTACTTGGCTCGAGATCTTCATTCGCTTCAACTTCACATACGTTCCCACTGCTCGCTGCCTGCCCCGACGTTGTCTCGCCGTCGGCTACAGCATGTCCGCCGCTATGAACTTGGACGAGCTGCTGCGGGGGCACAAGGAAAAGGCGCAGTCACCTCCCGACGGCGAGGGTCAGGCAAAAAAGAAAGGGCGAGTTGGCACGATGGCCGACGACGCCGACGACGAGCTGGCAAAAGTGGAGGGGGCCTTGAAGGCCAAGGACCTGCAGCAAGCGGTCAGCATCCTCTTGAAGATGGCGTGCATGCACGCCCAGATGTTGCGGGACTTGGCGGCGTCGGAGTGGATCTCAGTCGTGGCCCCAGTCGAGTGCCCGCCCATCGTTGCGCCCAGGGCTGCAGGAAAAAAAGTACGCCGAAGTGACCGCCATCCAGGAGCTGAAAACGAAAGTGGGCCCTCCACATTTGCACATCGCACAAGCCGCGTTCAAATCATTGAGCGAGGACGAGAAGGTTCGCACGCTGCTGGAGCCGCATCAAGTTTTGAAGGCTTTCTACGAGCAGTTCATCTCGAAAGCAGCGACGGACGAGCTGGGATTGGTCATTCGCCACTCCCGAGTGCGGAAGTGCTACAACGAGAAGTTCGTGCGCCTGCAGTTCAGCATCGCGGAGGGTTTCCAGATCGGGATGGGCGAGAATCAGCCTGCCGTGACGAAGCTGTCCCTGGAGCAGGCCACGATCAAGGCGCTGGTGCACCTCGACGGTCGTCTCAAGCTCGGCACGGCACCGGTGGGCCACCTGGAGCTGATGGCCCAGAAGTTGCTGGATCGCTCGAAGCCCAGGGATCAGCGCGGGAAAGCTCGTGGGAGTCTCGCTTGACGGCACTACGGGAACGGATTCGTATCAGAGAGCTGGCGGCGTGCTCATCGGGGGCACCTTCATACATTTGGGCTGGGCCTGTCAGAACGCGCCACCCTCGGGGTGTGCTCAGAGTCGCCACTGGCCCTTCGTCCTGTCCAGGGGGCCTGGGCTGGAGTGCGCTCGCTCTTGCTCACCTTATGCGGCAGGGCGGGGGTCAGGTTTTGCTGCCTCGAAGGCCCGCGTCGCTCGTCGCCTATTCCATATTTCTGAGTTTACGGTGTGACTTGGTCTGACGGGTGGACTACTCTATGGGCGTCTACATACCTGACCAATTTCGATTTCGTGAACTCGTTCAATGTGAACACGCTCATAGTCCAAATCTTCTTCTTCGACGGGGTCGTCGCCACCCCCTGAGCCCGATGAGCCTCGCCTCGCCGTACTTCGAGTCACCGTGCCGCCACCGTCCTCCTTCTGGTCTTCTCTCCTTGTAGATTCCTTCTTTCGGAGGCTCGGTGGCCTTTTTGATTTTGTGGGCCCACTCCCCCCTCCGTTGCGGTGCCGCTTGCCTGCTCTCCTTCTGCTTTGTCCTCGCCCCCTCCTTCGTTCTTGCTCGTCCTTTCTGTCGCCTCTCTCGCCCCGTCGTTCCTCTCGCGTCCGTCGTTTGCCTGCTGGGGAGTGGGCCCGAATTCGGGAGGGCTCGGGCGCTCCAGGGGCCATCCTGGGGCCCGCCGTCCTGGAGGTACGGCTCCTGCGGAGCCCGTGAGGTCGCTCGCCTCCCGCTCGCATGGGTTTCACTGTTTGCGATCGGTCTCGCACTCGTTCGAATGCTGGGCTGCACGGTGCGCTTTACCCTGACCTCGAGTGTTATCTCGTTCGTTCGACTGTCAGAGGTACTTTGTTGTAGATTATCGAATCAGCAGCATCAGGCATGAGACTTCAGACATGCAGCGCAATGCCGAGTCTTCTTCTTATTATTCTTCCTCCTTCTCCTCCTCCCTCCTTTTCCTCCTCCTTCTCCTCCTTCTCGCTGCTCGGTCGTGCCCACGCCGCCTCATTGCCGCCGTCGTTGAGGCGCGTTGTTCAGCGAGGGGCCCCGTTTCTTTACAGAGTCGGCGGCGTGGGCGCGACCGAGCAGCGAGAAGGAGGAGGAGGAGGAGGAGGAGGAAGAGAGGAGGAGGAGGAGGAGGAGGAGAGGAGGAGGGAGGAGGGGGGGAGGGGGGAAGGAGGGGGAGGGGGGGGGGGGGGGAGGAGGAGGAGGAGGAGGAGGAGGAGGAGGAGGAGGAGGAGGAGGAGGAGGAGGACGACGAGGACGAGGAGGAGGAGGAGGAGGAGGAGAAAGAGGAGGGGGAGGGGGAGGGGGAGGGGGAAGAGGGGGAGGACGGGGAGGAGGAGGAGGAGGAGGAGGAGGAGGAGGAGGACCTGTGAAAAATCGAGCAACAATGTTGGAATTAACTCTCCCTCCAAGTCCCGTTTTTATACTCCCCCACAACGGCTCATTTCCATTGAGGGAGTTGCCTCGTTGGAAGACAACCGTTTGAAGATCTCGAAGCATGCCAAAACATTGTTCTCGGAATTGCAACGCCACGCATCAACCTGGCAGCTGCGTCTTGACGATCCGGAATTGTGACAGAGCGTCCTTTTTGGTATGTCAACACCGCGAATCAACATACTTGTTGCGCCCGCATAACCCCGAATCTTTCCGAAACATAATTTCTAGGACGCTGGTCATGGGAATGCGTGAAAACCGTGCAAAGTTTAAAAACATGTGCGCGGCGCTAAGGCGAGAGCCACATGTTGAAAACCACCCGCCCTCAATTCGTGAAACTCTTGCAAACGTTTAAAACGAATGTGCGCGGCGCTAAGGCGAGAACCACATGCTGAAAAGGAACAGCTTTCAATCCGTGAAACGCTTGCACATGTTTGAAAGTTATGTGCGCGGCGCCAACGCGAGAGCCACCGTTTGAAAACAACCCGCCCTGAATCCGTGAAGCTCGTGCAAGTGTTTAAAAAGAATGTGCGCGTCAGCAGTGCGAAAGCCACATTTTCAAAACCACCCGCCCTCGATCCGTGAAGCTCTTGCAAGTGTTTTTTTGGAACGTATGTGCGCGGCGCTAAGGCGAGAGCCACATGTTGAAAACGACCCGCCCTCAATCCGTGAAACTCTTGCACATGTTTAAAACGATGTGCGCGGCAGCAAGGCGAGAGCCACATTTTGAAAACGACCCCCCTGAATCCGTGAAGCTCTTGCAAATGTTTGAAAGCGAATGTGCGCGGCGCTAAGGCGAGAGCCACATTTTGAAAACGACCCGCCCTCCATGTGCGCAATTGTTCTCACTTTTTAAATACCAGAGTCATACATGGTGAGGAAGTCTCAGGCGAAACTCCGGACCCGCCCTAAAGAAAGGGCCTCGGGGTGCAACAGGAGGACGAGGAGGAGGAGGAGGAGGCGGAGGAGGAGGAGGGGGAGGGGGAGGGGGAGGGGGAGGTGGGGGAAAAACATCCACAGTCACAAGCATGCTCTGATGTTCGGGAAAATATTGGAAATGGAAGGGAAGAGAACCAGCAAACCATGTCTACGTATGGAACTAGATCGGGAAACATGTTTTACAAACTATGGAAACATGCAAACATATCGAGGGTCCAGGAAGATGTGTCTATTCATCTCTGTTTTCGTGGACCCCATTATGTACCGACGCCCGCGGCCCGTCGACGTCCGGGGTGGGCGCGTGGTCATCCGGGGCAACCGTTAGGATGGGATAGGCTCAGGGGGGAGGGGGAATCGCATCGACCCACTCATCGCCGACGGGGCCCGATAGCCCATTCCCGCCCAGAAGCCTGCGGCTTCGCTATCGGGGACCTCTCGCCGATCCATCGGCGATGCATCGTCGATCCCAGGCGGAGTTCTCCCCCACCCCTGTGCCAGTCACCCCTGGCCATGTCGATGTTCCCCCCCTGAACCAGTCCCTCCAGACGCTCATGATGTTAATGATGGTGCCGGTGATGGTGGTAGTGATGGCGATGGTGATGGTGATGGTAGTGGTGCTGGCGATGGTGAGGATGCTGGCGCTGATGCTGATGGTGATGGTGGTGTTGATGCTGACGCTGATGCTGATGGTGGTGGTGATGAGGCTGATCATGACGGTGATGGTGATGGTGATGGTGATGGTAATGCTGGTGATGATGATGGTGGTGGTGATGATGGTACTGATGCTGATGCTGATGATGCTGATGGTGATAGTGATGGTGACGACGATGATGGTGATTGTTGTGATGGTCGTGGTATGCTGATGCTGATGCGGCTGTTGTTACTACTGGTGATGATGGTGGTGATGATGATGCTGAGGCTGATGCTGATGCTGATGCTGCTGCTGCTGACGCTGCCGATGATGCTGTTGATGATGATGCTGATGCTGATGATGGTGATGGTTATGGTGATGGTGATGGTGATGGTGATGATGATGATGATGATGATGATGATGATGATGATGATGATGATGCTGATGCTGATGCTGATGATGATGATGATGCAGGCCTCGCGGCCCCGCTTCCCTTCCCCTGCCGTCCGAGTAGGGGATCGACTACAACATTGATTACCCGCAAAATGATTGTTCCGTCGGACCTTCGAACCATACGTAGACTGTTCCGTAGATCTATGGAGCATGCCTACGCATTTTTCGTAGACTCGTCGAATTCAATTGTGGGGTAAGTCAATTCTTTAGTCGATCCCCCACTCGAGCCGTCGAGGAAGGGCAAACAATACAAGCCGAAGTTTCGGAGGTTCGCGCGGATGTCTTAGATCTGCGCTGGAGCCCCTTGGTAGCGCCTCTGGCGCCGCCCCTGTCGCGCTGCGCGCGCCAGGGAGGGAGGTCCAGCGCCGATCCAATCTCGCCGTAATTGGCTACTGACGTATCCTGCCATCAGCCCGACAGCTTGTTTGACCCAACTCGCCGCAGACTAGAAAAGTGCTCTTCGTCTGCTCCGGCAGGTTGGCATCGACACCACCCTGACCTGGGTGTTGTTGTCCATGCTCAGCGTGGAGGGTGCGTCTCGCCAGTTCTACAGCGAGGCCCCCTGGGGTGGAGCGCGGGCGGTGCTCCGCTCGAGAGCATCGAGGCTCGAGGGTCTCCTCCTCCTTCCCTCTTCCTCGTCATCATCATCAGCATCATCAGCATCTTCATCATCATCAGCAGCATCATCAGCATCATTATCAGTATACATATAACGCCGCACCGGGCCCGGGGGCCCCCGGGCCGCAGCCCCGACCGCAAATGGAGGGACGTCGGGCCCAGCCCGCTCCCCGGCGGGCCCCAGGTCGGCCCCAGGAGAGCCCAGACGGCCGTCCAGGCGGCCCCAGGCCGCCCAGAGCCACCCTGAAGACAACCTCCAGCGGTCTCCTTCGGCTCAAGAGGCGTCTCGAACCGCCCCAGACGCATCCAAGACGCTCGAAGACCCCTCCAAGAGATCCCCCCAGACGGCCCCGGGAAGCAAAAATAGCCCCGCTCCCTTCGTAAAATTTTGCCATATTCGATGTTTTGGCCTTCGTACCGTCCTTTACGATCTCAGACTCTCCCTAGACCGCCCCAAGACGGCCCACGAAGCCCACAAGAGAGCCCCAAGACGGCCCCAGAGGGGCCCAGGACAGTCCAAGAGGCGCCCAGGACGGCCCAAACGCGTCCCCGAAGGGCCCCAAGAGGGGCCCAAAACAGGAAACCCAACTGAACCTTCCAGCCCCCCCGCCCCAAAAGGCCCCCAAGAGGCCCCTAAGAGACCCCCAAGAGGCCCGAAGAGGCCCCCAAGACGCCCGCGGCAGGCCCTAAAGGGCCTCCAGAGGCCCCCCAAGAGGCTTCACGAGGCGCCCCGAGGATGAGGACGACGACAACGGTGGTGATGGTGATGGTGCTGATGCTGATGATTGTGATGATGAAGATGATGAGGATGATGAGGATGATGAGGATGATGATGCTGCTGCTGATGATAACGATAACGACGACGATGATGGTAATGAGGACGAACCTTATGATGATGATAATGCCGATGCCAATGACGATGACGATGACGACGACGACGACGACGATGTTGATGGTGATGACGATGGTGATGATGAGTGTGACGACGACGGCGACGATGATGATGAGGATGCCGATGAGAATGACGATGACGACGATGATGACGAAGGATGTCTGCTGTCTCACCCTAGAGGCCGCCAGATAGCCTTCGGGCAGAGCCAAAGACCGCCTCAGCGGCCCAAGAAACTTTCGAGGTGGACCCTCGACAGCGCGAGCACGGCCCAACACCCCTGAAACAGCCCCAAAACAGCCCGAGAGTCAGTTCAAGATTCTTTGAGCCGTCTGAAGACCGACACCAGACAGCACGAAGACTCCGTGCCCCTCGACTGGCCTGCGCTAGAACCTAAGCGCGCGCGAAGCGCGCGCGTGGTTCTAGTATCATTATCATCATCAGCAGCATCATCATCATTTTCATGTTCATCTTCATGTCCAGCTTCATCATTCATCATCGTCCTCACCATCATCAGCATCAGCATCATTATCATCAGCAGCATCATCAGCATCATCATCATCCTCATCCTCGTCCTTCTCCTCCTCCTCCTTCTCCTCCTCCTCCTCCTCCTCCCCCCCCTTCCGCCTCCCTTCTTCCTCGAAATTATCGAGTCTGCCAGAGCCTCATTGGCGCCCTTGGTTGCCACGGCTGCACTATATGCCTCCCAGGTGGGGTCCAAGCAGATGGGGTTGGAGGATCACGCCGCATCGCCGATGCATCGCCAATGCGGCTGGACTCGCAGCTCGATTTACTCCGCACTGACGTCACCGATGCACCGCCGACCTTGCTGGTGCACCGCCGATGCATCGGCGATACGGCGCGATCCTCCGACCCCCATCTACTCAGACCCTATCTGGGAGGCCTCTCATGCACGCAGCTCGAAGAACCTACCAGGATGGGGGCCTCCAGAGATCGATGTCGAGCGGACTTGGGGCGGAGACCTGAAGCAGAGGAGTCTTTGAGGAAAGGGCTCCCGAAGTTCTTCTCCGCTTTCGGGCTCCCGGATTCGGCGCTTGGCGGCCAGATGCCCCGCTACAATAGCGGATAGAATGCCCTCAGGCTGCTCAAGGCGGGGGGCGATCCGGTTCTTCAGAGGCCAACGACATCTGAAAATTTACGCGGTCAGCTTCAGCTGGCTGGCGTCTGCACGCGCGTCAGTGGTGCGATCGGAGCCACGGAGGGCGTACATAGAATCTCAGTCCCGGAATTGTGAAAGGGGGGACATCTTGGGCGCCGCGTAATGGGGGGGTCGTAAATGGGGGGGTGGCAAGGGTGGTTCGAAAAGGTACCTAAATGAGCCCCCTGGGGCTCTGGAGGGGCCCGAAAGGGGCACGAAAGGGGACTTTTTTCTGACACCCCCATTTGTGACCCCCCCATTAAGCCACGCCCAAACATCCCCCAGGCCTCTCTCCTGGGGGGAGCAACGCTCCTGGCGGCGAAAAGTTTCGTACTCGCCCTCCGCTGCTGCGGCGGCGACAGAGCTGCGGAGTTTCAGGGTTTGCTGCCTGCTGTGCTTCGCGTCGTGTCGCGAGGCGCGGCTCTGGCGATCTCTGGCCGCCCACGCGTCCGTCATCTTTGACCCAAATGGGTCTCTTATCGACTATAGACAGGAGAGTGACCTTTCGCCGGAGTGACCTCTGGTGCGGGCAGTGGGGTTCCCCGACCGCCGAACGCGATGCGATGGTGGCGCCTTGCGCGCCTGTGTTTGCCCCCCCCCCCCACCCCCGCGGCCCCCCAGAAAGCCGCGCACCGAAGGCCACTCTTGCCCAGGCTCGCTCCTGCGTGTAGCCGATCTCAGAAGTCCTGCGTCCACACTACATCTGAGCGACGCCGAGTAGAACGGGGGCGTCTTCGCCGACACTGGCGCGTCAGCTGCCCGAGCAAGGTCGCGGGCGATCGCCCCCGTCTCCGGCGCGGCGTGCCGCGCGCAGGCCATGGCGCAGGGCCGCCGTGCCATCCCGCCCAAGACCTGCTCCTCCTTGCCGCGCCCAAGATCTGCTCCTTCTTGCCGCGCCTGCTAGGGGGCCACATGCGAACCCTACCCCTACCCCCCACGACTTCTGAGGGGGAGGGTGGGGTTCACTTCGTTCGGGAGCTCCCGAGCGAAGGGAACCCCACCCTCCCCCTCAGAAGTCGTGGGGGGCAGGGGCAGGGTTCGCATGTGGCCCCCTACCTGCGTCTCTGCCCGCCGTGCGCGCGCACCTCCCCCCGCGTGTGCTCTCCGCCCTCCTCTCCTCCCTGCCGCCGTCGGGTGTCGGTGCCAGCCCCCCGGGTGGGCTGCGCCGGCGGGTGGAGGAAGGGCCGGGCGGGTCGAGAGGAGGGATCGGGGGCCCCCAAACGGGGTGGTGACCACACCGTGCGGTGAGTCGGTGGGGATTCGGGGTCACCGCACGGTTTTGGGACTCGAGTCCCTCTCCGAGGACGTCTCGGGCGACAGGGGCCTCCGGGGTCCCAAGACCGTGCGGTGACGGACCGTGCGGTGAGGTCTTGGGGGATTTCGAGGTCACCGCACGGTCCGTCACCGCACCGTTTCGGGACCCCCAAGGTTACGACATCTGCCGCGTGCAGCTGGATGTGGCCCCGCCGCGGGGCATTGTCTCCAATGCGGCCAAGACGCTGACATTGAGGAGCAGTTCGGGTTTCGGAGGGGCTCGCTGTTCCTTGGGTCGTTCCGTGGTTGTTTCTCTAGCCTGAAGTCGGGCCTGTCCCTCTACCGAAGGAAAATCTTAAAAAAAGTCACAAAAAAAACATCATGCGACGATTCTGATCATTTTAGATTTTGTTTTACTATTTTACATGTTTCGCCCAAAATCCGCCTGTAGGAGGACATGCCCGACCTAACTCTAGTCCTCCTTCGTTCCTTACCTAGCGTTTCTTGTTTCAGCAGCCCTTCTGCACGACATCTGCCGCATGAAGCCGGATTTGGCCCCGCCGTCGGGCCTTTTCCGCAACGTTCCTGGAAGAAGCTGCGCAAACATAAATTGTCAGAACTCCGCGCGGATATTTCGGATCGGCGTTGGGCCCCCCTGGCGGCGCAACTGGCGCCGCCTGTGGCGCTCTCCGCGCGTCAGCAGGAGGGGGGTCCAGCGCCGATACCAGAAATCCACACATTACCTCCGACAGTTCACGGTCATGCAGTTCCTCCCAGCGCAGCTGGGTTTGGCTCCGCCGCCAGGCGCCTTTTCCGCGACACCGTGGCGCCAGGAGGTCTCGGAGTGCCAGCTATGCGTGAGCTGGCTCGCGAACCCAGACTTTGCCCCCCTCCCGGCCCCCTTGTCGACGGACTCGCGAAAGAGGCGCGCGCCCCTCCTCCCTGTCGCGTCGGATGTCAGCGCTGGGGCCCCAGGTGGTCTGCGCCAGCGGGTGCAGAGAGGGGGGAGCAGGGAGGAGGGAGGGGAGAGGAGGGGAGAGGGACATGAAGCATGGATTGGCCTGCGTCCTGAGCCCCAGGTCCAGAGAAGAAGGTGGCGAAACACAGGATGTACTAGTCATGAGGAGCAAACCTCCCGAGCCGCTCGATCCGGTGGGCACACGTCTGGCATAGCACCGGCTCAGCGGTAATAGCAAAACCGCTGAGGAGGGGAGGGGAGGGGAGGAGAGGTGGGCGGATGAGAAGGGTGGTTGGCGTGTCGGGAGGACCGACCTGGGGGCGGAAAGGGCCGGGGACGACCGCAGCAATTACTGCCCATGCTGAGCAGGGCTCGTCGTCGGAGTCGCCCCGCGGACGTCGGCCGCTCGTCATTACTGGGAATCGCCCCGTCCACCGGCCGCCGCTGTCGTTCTCGGGCAGCATTCTCGCTGTTGGGCATCGTCCCTTGGAGCCGTCTGGTGGCCTGAGGTGGCCCAGCAATGGCTCTGGCCAGCCGGACGGGCGGTCAGGTTCGAGGTTCTGGGACCTGGAAGGCTTTGTACCTTCTTCGGCCTCGGGGCCGTTTTCGGGCCCGAGGACCATGAAGAACGAATCCGGGGTGAAAAACTGCACCACCTTGACCTCGGGAGGGGTCCAGGAACCGATGTGGAGCGGATTTGGCTGCACCCCCCCATCCTAACCGGCTCAGACCCCCGGCCGCCTCCGAATCGTCCCCATCACAGTCAAGACGCTGAGGTCAGGACCACGTCGGGCTCGGGAAGTGATCGTTTTTTATTTAATCGCTTCGCTCATGCCGCCGGCCCTGGAGCCCTCTTTAGGGCCTCTTGGGGGCCTCTTGGGGACCTCTTGGGAGTCTCTTGGGGCTCCTTGGCGGCGTTTTGGAGGCCCCCAGGGCCTCTTGGGGGGCTCTTGGGGGTAGTCGATTGCGGCTCCCCCCTCGGAGGCCACGATCCTCGTGAGGGGTGTCGAAAAATACCCTCCCCTGGAGTGGTCTGGTGGCTTCTCCCGGGCTTCTCTCGGGACCTTGCCGGGGTACTTTTCGTCCGGGGGCCCCCAGGGGCCGCTCCGCGCGCGCGAACTAGAAATATTGTTAACAAGTTACCGGAGATCTTAGCACGCCTCTGGCCCGTTGGGCCGGCGAATTCATTGTTTTGCCGATCGGCGCGGGCCCTCGCACCCCCTCTCCCCCCCCATGGAGTAGATAGATCCTGGATGTTCTTGGCGCCTGCTTCGAGCGCGTGGAGTCTCCCCCAGAGGCAGCACTGTTGCAAACAGTCGCACTAAGCAGAGGCCTGGAGCCTGACCCCCCCCCCCCCTCCCCCCCTCTTCCGCCCAATGTCGAAACGCCGACGCATTGTCCCGACGAGCTTGCGCTTTGAACCCACGACGTCGATTTGTCGCCCGCCACCCGCTCGCACGACGCACGCTCCATCTCCGGTGTGCGCGGGGGGCCGGTCAATCCTTAGCCGTTGCTCTGTTGCCGATGCGCCGCCCGGGGCGCCTGGCTTCTCTGTCCGTCTGTCTGTCTGTCGGAGGGTCCCGCCCTCCGGCCGCCTGAGGCCCCGGCCGCCTGAGGCCCCGGCCGCCTGTGCTCTGTCTCCCCAATTAGAGCGCTGCGTGGCCCGCCTAGCTCTGAACCGGAAGAGGCTCGCTCTCGACCCGCAGACCAAAAATTGTATGTCTGTCGAAACGCCGAATCAAAGAAACCCTCACGAGGGGCTCTGGTTTTCGGGCCGTTCCTCGGGTCGGGGTCGGGGAGCCCCGGCGTGGTGGCCGGGGCTCGCCGACGCCAGAAGAGCCCCATGCGCTCCTTCTCCAGCGGCCCTTTGTGGCAGCACGACGATGAATCCGAGGAGCAGGCCCAGACCCCCTCGAGTCATGAAAAAATCGCGACGGGGAGGTTTTTCACAATTTTAGGCCGTTGGGGGCCCTCACCAGGCCTCGTGACCGCGAAAAATCGGCTCAGGATGAAAAACCGGTCCCAGGGAACGGGTCGAGACCTGGGGGTCGACGTCATGACAAAATCATGACGTCGGGTGTTTGGGGAAACGGCACAAACATGGTCCGCGCAGATATGTTGGATCGGTGCTGGACCCCCCTCCCTGGCGAGCGGAGCGCAACACGGGGCCCAGCGCCGATCCAAGAAATCTGTGCGGATCTCCGAGAAATGATGCTCACACCGCTTTGGGTTATTTTCAGTGCATTCCTGTGCCCACTCTGAGCGTGCCAGACGGACAAAACGACCGAGGGAAGGGAGGGGAGGGAAGGCGGTTTGGTTCCGACGGCAGGCCGGTGCCCAGCTCCGCTCGGCGCTCCCATCGGCCGAGAGGGCCTCCTGCCTGGGCTGGGCGCCCTCCAGGGTCAAGCCCGTGGTCCCGTGGCGAGGCACACTCCGCTCCGGTCCGATCTCCCGACGCCGATGCGAGGACCTCTCGTGCCCTAAAATCCGGGCGCGGCGGAATCAGCCAGAGTTCCGGAGGGAAAGAGAACATCGATCCGACTCGCTGCCGCGGGGAGCCCATCAGCGTGCAAGTCCGTCGCTGTTGCCCGAAAGCCTGTTTCTCTGCCTCTTCAGTGGTCACCCGCTGATGGGCTCTCCACGGCGGCGTGCCATCGGTACAGTCGAAACCGATGGGAAGGGTGGACAACTTTCCCAAGGGTTGGAGGACGAGCACAATGGAGAGGAAGCAGGTTGCCAAATAAGTTCCAGATGTCTAAAACCTGCCTTAAACATGTTTCCAACATGCGGAACACATGTTTAAAGCATGTTTAGAACAGCTTCCGACACTCTAAGTACATCTTACATTCAATGCTCTAGGACTGTTAGAGTGTCCACCGTCGTGGCATCTACAAGGCAACCTTCCCAAGGGTACCCGCCGGTCGTTGAAAGCAGGCATGTCGGGATGCCCAAATTCCCATCTGCTTTAGGCGCCTTCCTGCTTCAGGAGCTGAACGGCGCTCCTCTTCCCTCCTCTTCAGGGGGGCGGGCGGAAGTCCAATCTACCTCCAATGCCTTCCTGCTTCATGTGTCTGCCCACTTCTTCCGACCAGCGTGCACCCCTTGCATCCGTGCCTCTCTCTTGGCATCGCTCGGACGTGTGCATCTTTCCTTTGGCGAGGACCATCGAGGAGCATCCTTGATCACTTGGCGGAAAAAGCCACGCACGAAACCGAAAAAAACACAGGGAATGGACGTCCGAGCGATGGCCAGCTCTGGTCCACCCTTGAGGACTGCTGCTGGCCCGCCGCGCCCGAGGCAGCCTCGGCGCGGGCGCCCCAGGTCGGCGGCGAGCCCCGCGGGGGAGACGAGAGGGGGGCGGGCCTGCTCGGAAGGCCCGGCAGGCCCCCGACCTTCCGCGTGGGGCCCCAGGATATGCACGCTGGTCGTCGAAGGTATGTATTTTGGGATTCCCAGATCCCAATCTACTTCAAGCGAGAGGGGGCGGGCCTGCTCAGAAGGCTCAGAAGGCTCGGAAGGCCCCCGACCTTCCGTGTGGGGCCCCAAGGCAAAAAATCGGCCCGCAGGGTAAGGATGGGCACCTCTCCCAAGGGTACCCTTGCATCCTTGCCTCCTGGGTCCATCCTTGGACACTTTCGTTGGCCGCGCCCCGCTCGGATAGTTTCGAAGTGGGCGTCCAAGGCCCTTGCATCCTTATCGCGCATCCTCACTGTGCGGATTGACTGTGCACCACCACCATCTCCCTCGTCCCCTCCCTCTCCCAGGAAAGGGGCGAGGACGGTGAGGGTGGAGGAGGGAGGAGGAATCGACGTGGTGGTGGTGTGTATCCTTGGGGCCCGCGTTCTGAGAAGTGTTCTCGGCCTTCCCCGAGGGCACGGAAGACTTCTCACAAGGCCAGAAGAAGGCAGCCTTGTTTCTCATTCCATCCCTCGCTCGCCGCCGACCATCGCCTCAGTTCTGACTGTATTGTTTTGGCTCCCCTCATCATCATCAGCATCATCAGTATCATCGTCGTCGTGATCATCATCATCATCATCATCATCATCATCATCAGCATCATCATCATCGTCATCATCATCACCATCCTCATCAGCATCCCCCTCCTCCTCCTGCTCCTCCTCCTCCTCTTCCTCAGGTCGACGCCACGTTCGCGGCGGTGCAGTACATCGTGACGCTGCCCAACATCTTGCGGGAGCTGCCTGGGGGGGAGGGCTCATCGGTGGTTTCCGATGGCTCCGAACTCCGCTTCGATTCGATTTCGATGGCTTCCGATTCCGATTCGATTCGGCTTCGGATTCCGATGTGGGCTCCGAGTTCTCACAACGGAGGTACTAGCCCGCCGATTTCCGCCGATTCGATTTCTCCCAACTCGGCTACCGGTTTCCGCCGATCCGATTCATTTCGATCGTCGATCATCAATCCGAATCTAGGCTCTCCGGGGGAGGGGGGGCGAGGGACAGGAGGGTGCAGTTGGAGGAGGAGGTGGAGGAGGGGGAGAAGAGATCCCTCGAAGATGGGGAGAGGAGGAGGAGGAGGAGGAGGAGGAGGAGGAGGAGGAAGGAGGAAGGAGAGAAGGAGAAAAAGGATTAAGAGGAAGAAGGCAGTGGGGCCAACACGCAGGAACATGGGCGCTCTCGCTTGTTCAGGCTTCCAAGCCTCCAAGACGGCCCAAGAGACCCCCAATATTGCCTCAAGATTTCCCAGGAGGCTCCAACGAGGGCCCGAAGACGGGCCAAGCGACCCCAAAGATCGCTCAGGAAGGGCCCCAAGATGGCCCAAGACGCCCCCAAGACGGCCCCAACAGGGTGCCCAGAGTAGGAAACCCGAACAATCATTTCGAGCCTTCCGCCTCAAGATGGCCCTGAGAGCCTTCCAGAGGCCTCCGAGGCGCCCCCAAGAGGCCCCAGGAGGCACCCCCAAAGGCCCCCAAGAGGGCCCAAACAGCTTTTGAGAGGGTCCCCAGAAGCTCCCAGCAGCCCTCAAAAAAAGGCTCTCCAAGAGGCATCACTATGGGCCGAAGGCCAACAGATATTGTTTTGCAGTATGTGGACGGACAGAGCGATGCCGAACGAGCTGTAGAGCCAGAGGGCATGAAATGCATTGTACAGGGAGCCCTACAAGCACGCCATATCTAAAACATATGTGCTACGGCCTTCTGACAACGGGCGCCGCGAAATGCAAAGAGAGGAGGAAGAGAAGGAGGAGGAAGAGGAGGAAGAGGAGGAGGAGGAGGAGGTGAGGTGCCACTGCTTCCAACGTAAGTGATCTGGGAAAACTAGCTACCAGGCGCATGTACATATTTCCTAATCGACCGTTCAGTATTGTCATGGCACTTGTTGCGGAGTTGGTGGTCGTCCATGTCTGTTGAAGTTGGCGGAAGCAGCGACAGCCGCTTCGGAGTTGGCATCACAACCGCTGCTATCAATACAGTTTGCGTGTCGATGTGCCACTCCCACTTCCTCAGCTGCGAGGCGGGCAAGACTTCGGAGGGAGGCAACTGGCGTTCATGCAGTACGGCCACCTCCACGACAGCAGCGTCCTGAGGAGCAAACTCTTACTTCTCATCACGATGATTGCGTCTTCTGCGTTCCCATCCTGGATGATCATGCCCTTCCCGTTCCACCTCACGCCCCTCCCAATCCTTGGGGCGCCCTTCAAGATCTCCGAGACGACGTACATCGTGTCCGGGGTGAATCGCAGGTGCCACTCGCTCCCGTGCATCCACGAGGCCGCTGCTCCGCTACAGCTGCCAGCCGGACTCCGAAGATCAACAGCAGCAACCCGTTGCACTTGGTTTTCCGCGCCCCGCCGCTCTTCCACAAGGCCGCCTTCGGCATCCACGACGGCATCGGCAAGCTCTGCGCGCGCTTCGCCGCGATCCCCGTGTTCCTCGGCTGCATTTTCTCCGTCGGCATTGCCCCACTCTCCGCGGGTTTCCGGGTCCCAGACCTCGTCTCTCGGGTTCCAGGGCTTCCCTTGGCCGCCGCGCACTCGGGTGGCCAGCCAGACCCTCCTGTTCGTCGGCCGCAACCCCTTTGCACATCGGGAGCGCCTTCGGCCTCATGGGCACGGCGGGCCTTGCCCTCCCCAGACGGGCCGCGTTCGCCCCGCCCGCGGTCTGCATGCAGTTCGCCACGTGCTTCGTCAACGGCGCGACTTCGGCCGCCATTGCAAGCCCTGCGAACGCCACCCAGGCCGAGCAACACGCGCCCTCGGGCCGCGCGCTCACTGCCCACGGCCCTCATGCTGCCCACCCGCCGCGCGCCCGCAGGTCGTGCGTGGCTCGGGGTCGGCGAGCACCACCCCCTCCTACCGATGCCCCACCGACCACGATCCGCGCATTCACTCCGCGCGCGACCTGGGCCCCGGCCGCCGTCGTCGCCCACGCCCGCGCCGCAAACCGCAGCTTGGCCACCCGGGCCCCGCCCCCCGCTGCGGACGCGGGGCGCGCGCGACAAGACGCGCCGCGCACCGCCCAAGGGGCTCCCGGGGCGACCCTGTCCGATCCCTACCGACCCCTACCGACCCTGACTTCGACATTCAAGTCGGCACGGAGGTCACTGTCCAGGGCCAGGGGCAAAACCCAATCAACGGTCTCCGCGGCGTCGTCCGAGGCCGCTCCGGCGACGCAAGCCAATGCTAGATCGTCACGCTTACAGCGGGTCCACCGCCCACCTGCTCCTTAACCAGTCTGATCGTCGACGCCCCAGCGCCAACCCCCGAGGTTCCGCCCCTCGGCACGCGCACTCCCCCCTTGGCCCCCGCCTAACTGCCCCAACCCCCCCGCCGTCTACACACGCGGCGCGGCAGAGGAGGCGAGTCGAAAAGGGAAGAGGCGGGGACGACAATCACGACCACCACGTCAATCATGCGCCTTGTGGCCACGCCGCTGGCGCACCGGCCGCAGTCGCACGACCAGCCGTCGCGGCCACACCAGGGCGACTCCACGGCCGACCGACGCCACAGACGCCACAGTCCGACTACACAGCCCGCACACAGTCCGACCCCACAGCAGACCGACGAATTTACCATCTCTGACGGCCCCGCATCGGGCGCGTCGCTTCCTTGCCCCACCAGGGCGATGCCCCCCTGCGTGAGCCGCGCCCACCGCTCTAGCGGTGCTGACGCCTGTCGCACTCACCGCTGTTGAGGCCGCCCTGCAGCAGCCGCATATTCACAGCGGGGCGGCCGCTCACTGGCGCACCCTCGCGCTCACTGGCACCATTTTGTTCGCCACGCGCGTTTCACTGTCCACTGACGTATACTTTGTCTTACGCCCGCATAGGGCCTTCACCACGGCCGAAGGCCCCACTCCTTGCCAGCCCGATTGCCTTTGCGGCCACGCGTCATCGGGACCTGGCTGCGGCGGCGTGGGACACCCCGTCGTTCGCAAGCCGCTCAGCGGTCAAGCCTTTTTCCCCCGGCCGCCAACCAGGCTTCGCCGACCTGGGCTCTTTTTCCCCCGGGGCGCCGAGTGGCGAATCGCCTGCTCAGCACCCCGTCGCTTGCTTCAGTCGTTTCGCGCCGGGGTGTGGTTGTTTCAGCGCTCCCCGTATTTACAAAGGTGCGCACCACCGTCTGGAGTGCGACGGCGGCCTCGGCTACCGCAGTAGCCCGCTGTCGACGGGACTCCCGTCTACTTGTCCGACATCCTGCTGCCACTCTCTCTCTTGCTGCCTCTCTCTCTCTCTCTCTCTCTCTCTCTCGCTTCTCAAGGAGGGGATCCGCCGAGTGCGCATTCACTGGACGAATACACGTCCCTCACAAAGCAGTCACAAAGAGGGCGAGATGCGCCACACGCACACGCATCCATACGCGCGCGCATAATAAGTGATGCGAAATTTGTTTCGAGTGTTTCAGCTTTTCGTGGCAACAAATATGTTGTGGTAGTCTGCGGGCATCAGCCAGTTGAGGAGGATGCCCCTCGACGTGTCCCCAGGAAGCTCGGGAGAGGGAGCGGGAAAGGTAATTAGGGGCAGCAGGGGGAGTGGGATGATGAGGATGACGGAGGAGGATGACGGAGGAGGGGGGGGAGGAGGGGGAGGAGGAGTAGGAGGAGGAGGAGGAGGAGGAGGAGGAAGAGGAGATGAGGAGATGAGGAGATGAGGCGGAGGAGGAGGAGGAGGAGGAGGAGGAGGAGGAGGAGGAGGAGGAGGAGTGGAGCCGAGACCGCAGCCGCCGCAGCGGGGCGGGCCGGAGTCCGCCCGCCGGGCACCCGGGGTGCGGGCACCCGCCGCGCCCGCCTCTTGTCGGCGGGAGGTGCCGCACGTGCACGGCGGGAGCGGCGTCAGCCTCAGAAGGAGGAGCCTGAGGAGAAGCACGAGGCGGCGGAGGAGGAGGAGGCGGAAGGCGGCTTCTGGGCCGCACGCCAGGAGCTCTCGCGAGACCTCTCCTGGGCCACGGCCAAGGAGATGCTGACGCAGCGCGTGATGGAGGGTTTCGGCCTGGACCTTCGGCGGCCACAGGGCGGGACGGAGGAAGCAGGAGGGACGGGTGGAGGAGAGGGGGGAGAGGAGGGGCAGAGGGGCAAGCTAGGCGCGCTCGCGCCCTATCTGACGTCATCGCCTTCCCACCCGTCCCTTCCCATTTGCGTCGATGTTCTCTGTCCGCCGACGGGTGTCATAGCGGACCTGAAACCTTCAAGCTGAGGGGAGAGGAGAGGCGGGAGGAGAGGGTGGCACAAGGCGGCCGGGGCACTGGGGATTTGTTTGCCCCTCTGGGGGCTGTTGGGCCTCCTCCAGACAGCTCAAAACAGTTCTGGGGCCACGAATGGGCGATTAGAGGGGCCCAGCAGTGCCCAAGGGCAGCTCGAACATGACCAAGACGATTCAGGACGCCCGAATGGCCCAGGGTGCCCGAAAAAAGATCTTTCAGAGGCCCCCCAGGAGACAAAGCTCCTGGTAGTCTAATGTTTGTTGTTTGATGCTCGCGTATTTGCACTTCTGCTCCTGAGGGCGCTTACGGGCCAAGAGGCCCCCAAGAATCGCCCAGCATGTGCCCAACAGGGCCCAAACAAAGGTCCCACGAAGATCCGTAGACAGTTTGGCACAAGCCATTTTGGCTCAAGGTGTATCTATCGTTTGCTTTTCGTGATCAGTGTTGGAACTGATCGATGTGGACGTTCGCGTTTTGCTTTTGCTTTCATCCAGCTCAAACAGAGCTTGACAACACCAATTCAGTACACACAGATGATCGTTGCTTCTCTGTATGCGGAGGCTCTTTCAAATTGAACGGCATGTAAATTACCGCCGCTGTCTTGGCCTTAGTGATAGATCGTATGGTTGTCCCAGAAACGGATCTCATGTTTTGGTTCGAAATGGAGACATCTAGCAATGGGCGCGGAGTTTGGCATTGTTTGGCAAGTCGCTTGGAAACTGCTGGATATGTGTTTCTTGAACGCTGGGGTTAACGATGATAATGGGACTCCAACGCCAGCAGTGGAAATTGGTAAAGGACATATTTCGGCACTGCTTCTTGCGGTGCGACCTGGGCTCCAAGACGAGTGCTACAGTAGTTGCGCAGCGGACCCTCAGGGGGGTCGATTCTTGTAATGGGGACTAATTTGGATACTCGTGATGGTAAGAAAGAGAAGCAAGTCTCTGCTGTCAGGAGTGCCGCTTTGAGTCAAGTTGCGATTGGAAAGATCATGGACATCGAATTAAAATTGAAGATCGTCACGGAGATTCAGTGCAAGTGGCGTGGCGCCAGAGACCGAAAGCAATACCGGAGTTCGGGAGAGACCATCGGCAATTCCTCTAGGTGACCAGAATGCACGCGTAGTCGCTCGAGATGATTGGATAAAGTATGTTCAGAATTCGTTCCACCACGGCGAAGCAGCTTACAAGCTCTTGCCGAGCGTAGTTGATGAGATTACTGATCTCCTGGGGTCGGAGAGAGGCCGACGAGAGTTATGCAACCTGCAAATGAGGAACTCGGTAGGCACAAATGATTTTCCTGTGGATTGGTGGAGAGACGGTGGTGGACCAATCACAATGCCAACATATATGCGAACACCCCATTACCAATGTTTTCCTACGCTTGCGGCCCCAGATAATCCTCAAATTGCTACCACGCATGAGCTACTGAGCCGAGCAAACGAGCAAGGCGATACCACAGTGTTTCATGGCGTTTCGGCCTTAGCCGATGCTGAGAAGCGACGGCAGATTGGCGTTGATCCCGCCGCTTTGAGGAACCAGTTTTTCAACATGAGCGACAAGATTCCGAGGGTGTCTCCTCGCGTGAAAGCTGGCATGGCACGGACTCCGGTAGCTTCACGGTTGGAAGTCAACCGCAGCAACCGTCAAAATATGGTCGAAAGCGTGGACCTCAGGAACTGCTTCGAACTACCTGAAGTCCTGCCAGCGAAGATTTGTCATGAATGATCCTTGATCAAGTCCTACTAAGTCCAGCCAACCAAGTTGAAGGTTCTTTGGATCTCCATTAGCGTCTTTATCCAAGACTGTCAGCCTGTAGGTGTAGGTGGGATGAGGACAGGGCGCCATTAGTTCCGTTCGCAATTGAGCGCTCGCTGCCTATAAGGTCTGTCAATTTCAACAAGTTTCAATCATGGCAGATCAAGAAATGAGCGCTGACATCAGCAGTCCAGATGCATTGTCTGAAGTTGTCTGCATTCACGGAGCGATACACAGCCAAGAGCTCGATGAGGAGCTCACTGCAGGCGGCGCCGCCTGCAGTCGACCTCGGGGAGGTCGGAGGCCCACCTCAGGAGAGGTAGGTAGTGAAGCTCATGGAATGCAATAACGGAAACTCGTGTGCGAATATCAAGTGGCAGCCAAGTCAGAAGACGGGCGCCCTGGAAAGCTGCTGAAGGGAATTCAGAGAACTAGACAGACGGCGGCGGCCTCGACAGAGTCGGAGGGTACCCTGGGAAACGGCATTATCAGAAAACTCAGAGGTTTGGGCGATGCCCGCGCGCACCAGTCGCGAAGCGACCTCAGGTCGCCCGGACAACGCCTGCCCCAGCCGCTTGAAACACAGAGAGATTTGGACGGAGACTGAAGTGCGAATATCAAGAGGCGGCCACGTCAGGAGAACGGGCGCCCTGGGAGGCCACATTATCAGAAAGCTCAAAAGTCTGCTTGAAACTCAAAGATCTGATCGCCAACACCGAAGCGCTGCGCGGTGGAGAAACTGGGCCCGTCAACGCATGGAGCCGGCCGAACCGTGCGACAGGGCAGTTTAGGAAGAGACAGAAAGCTGGCGAAAACACAACCGAGTACAGCCACCTCGGCCGGGCGCGAGCATTACAAACATGTTCAGGTTGCGAATTGTGATTCAGCGGGACGCCTCAGTGGACGCCGCTGCGCCAACCAAGAGGTGGCCCCCCCTCGCCGGGCCAAACCAGCCCAGTCCCCCCTCGCCGGGCCAAACCACGGTAGAGCGAGCGCCGACCACCACTGCCGTGCGACCCACCACCGCAGATAATGGAAGGCAGGGGGAACCAAGCCCCGAAGGGCCCCTGCCGACCACCGCTCCGCAGCAACGGGAAGCATAGCCACGGCAGCCGCGCCTGCAATGCCACGGAGTGGCGAGGCGGGCCAGAGACCAGGCACGGAGTGGCGAGGCGGGCCAGAGACCCCCCCCCCCCCCAGCGGCCTGCAACAGACTCAGATTCTGTTCTTGGGATCGGCCCGGAACGATCCCCTCACTCAGAGAGCCGACTCGGGCGGCCCCGCGAAGATACGCAGGCCAGGCCGCGCGACGCTCCCATCGACTGCGCGGCCAGAGCGGAAGTATCTATGTCATGCAGGTGCGTGCAGTCTGGGGCTCGGACGCCCCCGAGGTCAATTCCTCGCCTCGCTTTGCTGCGGCACCAATGGCGACGGCCGCAGCAGCAGGCCCCCTCCCGCGGGGCATTCACGGAGCGAGTGGCTGATACATTTTGGCGCACTCACGGGCAAGGAGTGGCATGCTCCTTGATCGTCTGCTTGTTGTTGGTAGTAAGAACACACAAAAATGCCCACGAAGAGCACAACATGGTCCACGAAAGCCCCAAGGCGCTCCAAGAGGGTTCACATAGGGGCTCAAGAGGGCCTCCTCCTCCTTCTTCTCCTCCGCCTTCTCCTCTAGGGCACCGAGACGGTCCAACTTGGGCCCAAGGCGACCCCTTCTGCCGCTTCAGAGACCCCCGAGACGGCCAAGAGCGGCCCCGGGTGGCCCAAGAGGGCCCGAAGACGTTCCCACAAGCCTCCAAGACGGCTCCTCCAACATGCGTCCAAAAGGCTCCAGGACCGTCCAGAAACGGCTGGAGGAAGCCAGGAAGCTCTTCAATGATGCCCTTGAGCGTAGCTTGCATATCCAAAGTGCCAAAAGCCACTGCTTGGGGTTTAAATTGGCAAGGTTGATCGCACTGGTGTAGGATATGTCGGGTGCATGGATGAAACTATATGATTGCTTGAAGCATAATTCGAATTGACGCGCGCCACGCGACAATATTGCAGCGCCTGTCAATGCGAAATGTATGACGACGTCTTCAAGTATGAACTGTGGACTTCCATCTAGAAATCAATTGAGCTATGACGTAGGCCAGCCCTGCAGTCGAACCTACGCGCGCGCAAAGTTCGCGCGTGGCTCGCATGTATATATATATATATATGTATACACACATATATATATACACACGATGCATGAATGCCTGCATGCATGCAAAGCAGTTAAGAACGCCCTCCCCCGTTAGGTGAAACGATAACGCTTCTGGCACCCTGGAAGCGTTACCTCGGCACCACGAGGCGCCCCCTGGATTCCAATGGGGTCCAAATCGGCCCATCATGTGATGCAAAAAGATCCCATTCTTCGTGGTTGTCGTCGTCGTCGTCGCCGCCGCCGCCGTCGTCGTCTTCGTCGGTGTCGCCGTCGGCGTCGTGGAATCCGATTGGAGGTCCGATTCGATTCGAATCCTGTTGGAATCACATAGGAGTCATATTGTATTGGAATCAGATTTGCATCCTATTGGAATCCTGATGGAATTTCCGTTGTACTGGAATCCGATTCAAATTGGATCCCAATAGGACCACACAATCATACAATACATTAGGATTCCAATGGGATCCGAATAGGGTTTTAATTTGATCCAATGAGGATTCCAAACCAGTATTATACAGTAGGATTACAATAGGGACCCCACTAGTACCCCAAGAGGATTTCAATCGGAGTCCAACGTGATTCCAATAAGACTCCACCAGGGTTCCACTAGGATTCCAATAGGACCCCCATACAATGAAATAGGATCCCAATACGTCGTCAACACGCTTCCTAAAGGTGTCGAACAGAATTCCTTCCGGATTCCAACCAATACAATGGGATTACAATAGGAGTCCCACAGCATGTTTCTTGTAGGATTCCAGCTGGATGCCAATGCACTATGATTGCAACATGATCCGAATATGATCCCAATATGAGTCTAATGCAATAGGAATCCGACGGGATC